TTTTTTAATATTCTACTCTATAAAATATAGTGTCGTTTCCCATTGCTTTCTTTTATCATTATGCAGAAATGAGATATCTATCTGAGTCAGGACTATAGGATTGCACATTTGGTTGAAAAGGACTATAAATTATTCAGACAATAGGACTGTTAAGTGATGTGAATTTTTCTCATTTATCTTGTAGAGTTTGAATCAGTACAGAATTGAACATGGCTATGCAGGATAAAGTTAATTTTCTAGGCATTTTTTCCTGGATATTTATTTATGTTAACTGTCATAAAGGATTGTGCTGTTTATCTTCTAGTTTCTGAACACTCTCACATGATGTTTGCAACTCATTATTCTTCTGCAAAATCAATTTTGTCCAGGATCACAACACAGACTACATAGTCCAATTTCCAGATTGGGATCCAACACTTCATTCCAGATCCGATTTGCATCAAGAAAATCAGATGCAAAAGATTCCTGGAATATACCGAAACAGAAGGTTTATGCTCCACGAAATAAGCTCCCCTTTAACTCAGCCACATTTGTGGTATGATACTCAGGATGCGATTGCTGCATTAAAGCTTTTTCTTGACGCAGGAAATGAGCTTGCTGGAAGTCTCACATATAGGTAAGGTTGCATACGGGTGGTCAATTTGGGATGAGTTTCCACTTTCTTTTCCTTCCTACATTCCTTTTTTTCTTGAACTAAATGTGTTTGTTGCATGTGTCTGTCTGTCTATCTGCTTGTGTCTCTCTTTTCTGTCCTGCCACAAGTATTGAGAGAGAGAGAGAGGTGAAACTTCAGGATATGTCATGTGTTGATTAGTTTTAAGAACTGTAAAGTCTAGATAGTATTCTTGTTTACCTGGTCATGCATACTACTGGTATACTAAGAATTTCTGTTTTAATCTATCAACATAGAAAATATTTTACACAAATCATAATAGAGTGTAACATGTACATTTTGAGATTACCTTATAATATGTGAAAGTTGAAACTATAAACTTACATCCGGATTATTTACATGAGACTAAATGTGACAAAATTCAGCTACAGCGTGCTTATTTTCTTGAAGGACTTTTACTCTTACACATGTGGTTGGAAACATGCCATACATTGTTTATTATAACACTTAAGAAATGTTTCATGTGATGGTGGCCGAACAGCAAAATGTTCCTTACTAGTTACCCAATTTTGCTTGAGTATTTCCCTCTAAGAATATAACGTTCAGCTGCAAATTAAAACACTATTGCCCATTTCTATCTCATGTTTAATCTCTTGCTTTAGCTTTCTGGCAGGTTGATCATTCTTCCAACTGTTTCATTTTTTCAAATTTTTTGTGGTTGGAAATGTTGAAAGAAAATAGCAGATATATAGTAATTTTGAAGGGTAAAATTGAAATGAAAATGGGGAAGAGAGATCTATGGTTGTAGATACTAAGAAAAGAAATGAGAACGGGATCCAGAAGTTGCAAGAAGGAAATTTTATAGTTTAGAACTTCAAAATTTTGGTCCTCAATGTTACACTTACGAGAAGGGAAACCAACAAAGTAGAAGAAAAGTTATAAAGAAAGGAGGCATGGTTATCTGAGAGATGATTTCTACATTTGTGAAAGCGAAATTGTGGTCAACCCTCTAACAATGTTGTCAACATGAAAAGTCAAGATTAAAAGGGGAGATTCCAAACGGGACATGCACACGGCATAAATGCACTGTCTGAAACTTTTCTCAAGCAAATTAACGAGTTGAACTTTTCGCTTGAAATATTGGAAGCTTAAAGTAGATGAATGTTGTTGCAATCACCACTGATCACATATTTTGTTGGAACAGGTATGATTTGGTTGACTTGACTAGGCAGTCACTATCAAAGCTTGCAAATCAGGTATATTTGGATGCCATAAGTGCTTTCCAAAATAAGGACGCCAATGCCTTAGTGGTCCAGAGTCAAAAATTTTTACAACTAATTAAGGACATTGATGTGCTTCTTGCTGCGGACGATAATTTTTTACTTGGAAGCTGGCTTGAAAGTGCAAAAAGTTTGGCAGTTAATTCTGATGAGGCAAAGCAGGTCAGAATCATATTCTCACCTTTTCCATCAGTTTGATCAACTTAAGTCCAGCATTAAGCTTGTCATTGCATTCTCTTGGTGGTATCTTTTGTTTTCTACAGAGATTGCACACCTTTCATACAGATATTAGAGCAGGCCATCCATTTTTCTGTCAATGGTGTACACGTGATCTGTTTGAAATAAATTAGAATAGGGACTGAATGATTGATTGTTTGACTTCTTTTTTTGTTTGTTTTCATTTTCTAAAGTATGAGTGGAACGCAAGGACACAAGTGACAATGTGGTTTGATAACACAAAATACATTCAAAGCAAGCTTCATGACTATGGTAACGTACTTTCAAAATGTTTTTACCTGCTACAATCTAATTAACTATTCTTATCTGGGCTTTTGATCAGTGTTAACATTTCATTCATCTGTGATCAGCGAATAAGTTTTGGAGTGGGCTGCTCCAAGGATATTATTTCCCACGAGCTTCAATGTACTTCAGTCATTTATCAAAAAGCTTGAGCGAGGACAAGGCATTCTCGTTGGAGGATTGGAGAAAGGAATGGATAGCATATTCAAATGAATGGCAAGCGGGCACAGAGCATTACCCAGTTAAGGCCCAAGGCGATGCCCTTGCCCTTGCAAAAGATCTATACGAGAAGTACCTGAGATAAGACAACTATTTTAGGTTTTTCCTTGTTTTAACTTTTCTTTCCTGTTCTTTGTCAGGGAGAGGAGGTTAAAAATGAGATATCTCAGTTGTTTAGCTGGAATGTAAAATTCTGAAACTTGTTGGAACTATTTGCAACATTTTAAATTTACTTGAAAGATTTGAGTTCTTAAAGAGCAACTTGGGCATAATATTTTTGGATAAATGTTGATGCTGCATGATGAATATGCACTGTTGATTGAATATTCTTGATTCTTTGCTGGTCAAAGTAGAAAATTTTTTGGGGTGCTTTGAAGTTGATCCCTTTGCTGACATAGTAGAGAACAGTTGGGACAGTGAAAAATATATACATAATGTGATCATGTTCCAATATGATTTTGTGGAATAGTCAGGGACCTCTCTGTTAAACCAAGATTAGTTGGCAGAAAATTTACTGTTGAAGTAAGCACAGTGGTCTCTGCGTACAACGGGAAAACTCTTTTTTTAAGGGGAATGCAGGCAAGCTCTTGAATCCCGGGTAATAAATTCAAACAGCCCTGAAATCATCGAAAGCCAGAAGAATGTCTCCGATGGCACGAGGCCTTGGTTAAACCCCACAGTTATCTTTCTGGAAGTCAAAATCTTTAGGGCAGCACAAGCTACACAAATGCATTTGTCATAATTGTTTTCGTTGGATTGTTGACAATGTCCCAATCCTACAAGTCAATGGTTGATATACTTTCCATACGTTAACCTCTTAAGTCTATTCTGTGTCCAAAGTACCCATTTCAGGTGTTAAAACCATTTAGGAGAAAAAGAACTTTTTGAATTTGAATGTGCCTAATGAAATTGAGAAATAATTTTAATATAAGAAAAGATAAACCTACTATGAGTAACTAAGAAAATCCTTACTTGGGTAGGAATTACCCCTATATTTTATTAAATCAATAACTACTTCACTAGATAAAAATATGTAAAGGTTATAGGCGAGGAGTTTTAAAGAGAGATTTAAGAAATAGATTTTGTTAAAATAATGAAGTGAGAATAAAGTAAGAATTAATAGGAGTTTGGTCCTTTGCAAAATTTCTCTTCTCATCTATCACCTTCACATAAGCTCGGCACTCGGATCATTAGCTCCTCTATAATAATATATTCGATAGAGGTGTGGCACAAATGGGCGGGATTTGCTTGGGTTTGAGACGGGACCGAATAATATAGATTTAAATCCAATCTTATCTATATGTGTTTTGGAACTAATTTGAGCGGGGTCACTTTGGTATGAGTTTAGATTGATTCCACCCAATATTCAAACCTATTTCCTGTATTTGTTTTTCCTTTAATTCTTTTTTTTTATATAAATTTAATAATTTTTATTTATTAAATTTGTTTTAGTCTTATTGCGAATTTATATTTTCTTGAATTCTTTTTTCCCTCAAATTTTCTTTTGTTTATTTTCTATGCATATATTTTGTTTAATCTTTGATTTCCAATGTTGCTAAATTTTAGTTGAGAAAAGAAATAAGTCCTATAAAAACTTAAAAGAACTTATATTTATGAGTATAAAGAAATGACGTTTGGAACTATGAGCCATTATAAAACTGCCAAGACTGAACAAAGTATTTTCTAATAAAATTACATATTAATGACTTCTATATTACTCTCAATATTCATTTTGATCAGTATTCTATTAAAAAAGGAGTTCAATATCATTTACTGGCCTGAAAAAGTCCCCACCAGCCCCATTTAGGCCCTCTTCGATCGGACTGCTCAACCATTGAGTTTTTGTATCAACATAAGAAGTTTTTTTCGACATTTTTCAAAGAACAATCTAAATTGAGACTGGTGACAGAATTTTTACGAAAAAAGGGAAATTTTTTTTTTAAAAAAAAAACTGATTTCTAAGAGACAAAAGTGTCGAAGAAACTAGACGGGGGTTTTAAGCATAATTACAAGGAAAAAACTGAAGGACCTAGTTAGAGAATAAAAATGGTTCACTTGAGTCATTAAAAGATAAGTATAACAATTGATGGGATAAATTTTTTGTGAGATCATTGGGCCCCAATGGGTACCCAAGTTTTTGCCAAAAATTCCCATCAATTGATAGGTATAAATGGGATTAGTTCCATTTCAATCCCTATCTCAAAATTAGAATATCTATCCTGTCCAAAGTCCCTTTGGATATGGATAGCCTATTAGAACTTGGGACAGCTTGTCATCTTTCGTATATTCACAACTATTTTTCCCTCAGCTGTCTAGTGATCGAAAAGACGAGAAATGAACTGACAAATTTGTCCTTGAAGGAGAACCTGTTAAGTTGAAGTATCAGCCTTGGCTCTTGATGTCAATATGTCATTGTTCGAATATTGCAATTACATAAAGGTACCAGATGTATGGACCACAGAAAAGATAAAGAAGTACAGCTGTGAAAAAGAGATTGAGTTTGCAACTAATCGCCACCTATAAAATTTACAGTTTCATCCATTTCTTGCGGTATTTTTGGATATTAACAAGTTGTTTACATTGGACCCGAAAAGGATAAGAAAAAAGTTGGAGCAATGTCACACCAATTCCATTAGTAAAGGATCACCTGCGGACATCAGTTTTATCAACTTCAGAAAATCAGACTCGTTGGAAACTATCCACGGATGCACTGCAGGTACATGAGCAGAATAAAAATCCTGGGAATCTATAGATGAAGCTTCTGTCTTGTAGATCATTTTATTCAGCACAGAATCAAAATTTTGAGGCACATCCATTGCCATGAAGAACACAGGCACCGCAATCTTGTGGTGAATGTCAAGATCGCCCACAAGATCAACAAGATCAATGAAATCCTGAACAAATTTCCGAGGCACGTAAAACACTTCAGAGCCACAGAAAGCAAGGCTCTGCTCACTCGGGTTGCTTCCCTTGTAATTGACCTGAAGATGAGCCGGCATTGTACTTACAACTTTCTTGACCATGTCTGCTTGCTTCGAAAACCAAGATAAATTCTGGTCAATGGCTGTCCTTGAAGCAGGCACCTGGAATTTGGTTTGGAAAGAGACAGAGAATGAGCAAATGGTGATTGGGAGTCCAAAACGTAGGGAAAACATTGTTTGGGCTCATACTACCTGGTTTGCAATCCACAGTTTTGATCTATCTGCTTGCACCAGATGCCAGTAGTTTAAGATTGTATTGTCGTGAAGAAAAAGGAACCCTTCTGTACTATTAAACCTGGCAAATATTTTTGGCAGATATCTGCAATTTAACTGAGCATTAGCAAAACAAAGGCACCAACCATGGACTCTCACCACACTCAAGAGGCCAACTTTCAGCACGGAAAAATGGATAATCCAATACAAGATCTCACTCTAAGAGAAATGTATAACAAACATGCAAATGAAAGATAAATAGGAGTACAGTAATTGACAGCCGAGGGAAAGGTTAAAAAAACAAAGTCTGCCAATGCCTACTCTTGCCTTTCATAGCAAATGAAATTGAGGAAACAGAAAAAAGGAAGCTTCCTAGCTTCAGTACCTGTTAGAAACGTTGGAATGACTTTCAATAAATTACTCTTAGTCACCACAACTTAAGAAGCTGTAGTCCCACATACCAATGTGTTAACAGCATTATCTCTAAAACGAAAAACCCATCACAATCCCAATTGTGTTGAAATTCCATGAACTGGCAAGGAAGAAACTAAATCAGCTAACTAGTATAACATGTTTTACCCACCCCACCCCCCTCCCTGCAATTATATTCAGGCAAATTCTTTTATGTCTGGAATCCTTTTGGGAAAAGAAAAAGTGAAGGATAACGACATCTTATTAGAATAATCAGTCAAATGCAAATCAAGGATGATTATACAACAACTAAAATATTATTCCACTTAAAGGGTTGCTTAGAAGAAGTCATTAATAGAATGATAAAGGAAGAAAAGCTATAACGAAGCTTCAAAATATTAAGAGTTGGAGGGATTCCATCTGTTTAGCAAATAAGAATGTATTCCTCAAGAGCAAATAAGAATGTATTCCTTTCCTGTTCATTTGCCATAGGAGATTCAATGTCATTGAAATGATTTGATGTTCTATATGTAAAACAAAGTCTTTTTTTTCCCCATTTTTCTTAGGCATAGTAGGAAAACCAACAGCAAATCCCCAGAGCTTAATGATCATGCACCTATCGTGCTCTGCTTATTGGATAGCTAACTAGTTTGACATGAAACCAGACAAGTACTCTAGAGGTTCACTTATTATTCAAGTGAGACATGATATGACACTTTAATTTTCTCACTTCACTTTATACGTCAAAGCCATAGCCACTATTGTAAAAGGTAATATCATTTTCACTGAAGGAATCTAGAAAAATCTGAGCTATCTACTAATAACGTACACCAACTCCTACAACATACACCACCAGGGCTACAATCCACGATTGCCCCTCCCATCTCCAATTGCCCCAACACCTAACTAAAAAAGGAGAAAGAGGAGAGTGAAGAAATGCCAGCAGCTATCAGAAATGTGTGATTGAGATTTTTTCGTTTCTTTTTCCATAGCTTTCCTATATGTTCCTAAATAGCATATTATTTTCACAGCATGAAGATGATTCACAGTCCTATACCATACAGCCAAAATTGGTATTTATCAGCTGTGCTATTGTCCGACGGCATCAAGTGAAAATTTTGATTTTAACTCTTGTTTTCTGTGAGCATATGATTTGGCAACCAACTATATGTACAAGGGAATATTTAATTCAAAAACTCCTAAGACTTAAAGGCATCAGTCTGCGACTCTTAATATTCCTTAGTTCGGCTACACGGAACATGATAGGAATCCTAAAGCAAGAAACTTTTCATGTCAAAACCTCTTTCACAAACAAGTAAAGGTTAGTGACTGTGCAATGCTGCCAAACTTCATAATTAAGGATTGTGCATGAACTAACTTAAGAAGCCAGAATTCCTTCCTTACAACAGGATCGTGCATGAACTAAACTGAGACACCAAAATTTCTTCCTTACAACAAGATAAAAGAAGGCAAAATTTCTTCATTATGACAGGATTCAATATTAAGAATGTACCATTCTTCCCCTCTTTTTTCTTTTAACTTTTTCTAGAATGTTTATGGCTGGCTTTACCTATGGGAAATACACTTCTAAAAATTATAGTGTTATCTTGAAATGCTTCAACATGTATTCTCAAGCAAAGTTCTCTCATCTTTTGAAAAATAACAACAAGATTGATCTTTGATATTCACTGTTTTCATGCTATTGCTGCTTAGTCGTATATTCTCCAAAATGGATCCATCTTTTATGTTAATTTTTTTGCCTTGATCATTACCATTAGTAGCTTCATCACATCTATGAGATGATAAATAGAAGTTTAACCATGTAAGCAATCAGAGTAGTCAGCCAGATAAACGAAGCACTCTGAAGCAGAAACAACTGAAAATCTTGATTGGAATAATATTCAATGAGTATGTAAGCAGTAATGAGATAATGTGAATCAAAATGTCGTCTACATACTTGTATAGTTGGTCCAATTGCCCTTGTCCAATTGCAAGATCTGCATCAGCCTGGTTTGATAGAATAACCACTGTTTTGAATATTCTGCCATAAAGCAATCTCCATTCTAAAGCAGTTTGTTGGACAGGTCCACTGACAAACATAATTAGCACCACATTACCAAAACTCTTCCTCCATCTAACTAAATTCCCTATTTCATAATTCACTGTTCCCGACTCCTCAACTCCAAGATGCACAGAAGGTAGTTTTCGAGGGACAAATTCCTTTCTATCTCCAGGGACGATTTCTCCCTTTTGTCCATCCAATTCAATTTGGAATATGCTTGGCTGCTGATATCCAACAGAAAGCAAATCTTGCAACCAAGCAGCAGTATATTTGACATCATTTTCCCCCCAGAAACCTTCTTCAGCCATGGCATAACTCAAATCCAAAATCTTCTCAAATAACCTATGCTTTTCAGATCTCCAAGAAATCAAGAACCTTATTAAACGGCCTACATTTACATGAAGGTCTTTCTCCTCGGAAAAAGGGTATGCTTCAAGTTCATCATTTCTATGAACTGTTGGAGGATAAACCACAACATAACCACCAATTTCCCACAACAACCTTTGTCCCCAGTAGCCCCTTAAGATATCACATGCCATCTTGCTAACAGAGACGGGAAGCATCAAGGACCAAAATGCATTATAATGAAACAATGTATTGAATGAATTCACCGGCACCATCATACCTCGAGGCAATGCAACTTTAGGAGCATGTTCGTCAAACCCTATATCGAATGTTTCCAACCCTGCTTTTCTGGTCGAATAGAATACCGAATCAACATCGGGTAATCCATTGCTTATTCCCTGCTGTATGTACTGCATTCCTCCAGACACTTCACTGTAAAACTCCTCGTGATTAACTTCACCGACATTTTCCAATGGCAATCCTCTAGGCCAAACTGATCTCTGTCCAAAATGAACATAAGGATTCACAGCAGTCCTATTCGCAGTTACATGACTATACTGCAAAATCCTCTGCTCTTTTGCTATATCTCCATCAATCTCCAAATCAAAATGCTTCCCTATCTCCCCACCTATCACTTCCCCGCGACCATCAGCATCAAAAATCTTCCTAGCACCGTGCTGGATTGCAAAAAGATAGCCCACAGTTTTCCTAACAAAAGAATCATAAGGAAGGTAATCCACTACTCTGAACCCCAAATTTGCTTGGTCTTCTAATGACAAGTATATTGCACCCTTCAAAATCCAATCTTTTGGGGTTTTTACGTTGCCTATTGCAAGAACTTGCCAACCCTTTATCCTAACCAGGCTCTGGAGTGAAGCAGAAGGATAGTCTGAAACTGAAACCACAATCCACTGTTCTGAGTGGAAGGAAGAATAGGGTGAGGACTTGTCTAAAATGGGCTGGATTGAATTGAGGTCAAGCTTTGGAAACTTGAGCTTTTCAGGGTGGTTTTGATGGGAAGTTTTGAAGCAAAAAATAGAGTTTTGGGTGGTATTGGAAGTTTGCAAGAAGAAGAAAAGGGCTGCTACTGTGAGTGTTAAAATGCAAAAAACAAGCAGTTTCAAGGAGCTCTCAGAAACCCATGTGGAAAAATCAAAATTTCTTGGCTCATTGAAGAGATTGACATGCTTTGGTCTGATGTAATGGGGTTTTGACGATTTTACAGAAGAATCATCTTGGACCATTTTTGTCAAAAACCCACAAAACTTTTGATGCGGGTTCTCAATTCTGAGCGCAGAAACCCACCAGAGACAGCCACAGACACAACACAACACACAGCAGTACGGTGCTACTCTGATCTGAAGTTCTCTGTTATGGTAGTATAGTTTGTTAACTGAGAATGTGGGAAGAAAATGAATCTAAACTCTCATGAAAATGGAATGCTTGATACAAAAACAGAAAGACAAACAGACATTCATAAATTGGTTTCTGGATTCGGATCTAAATCAAGAAGGAATTATGAAGTGTGAAGTTAATGGAACAGTTTCTTGATTTGGCTGCCGACAGTTTTGTTTGTTAAAGTTCAAATTGGAATGCTTCAGTGAAACTTTAACACTCTTTGCAGACACTCTGTACTAACATTTTACAGTACAATCAATAACCATACTTTAACTCTCTCCCGGCTCAACGTTGCTCCCATCTGTTCATGTCCAATCATCAGGCCAGGACCCATGGGGCCAAATAGGTCGAGCTAAATAAAGGGACCATTGATTAGTGCCCAACAAACCAATTATTCCTGGTTGGCCACCGAAAGAGATTTAAAATTTTACTTGGACGCCGATTAAGGACATGCATTCTAAAAATTCATGCTTTTCTGAAAATTTTGATAGTGGGATCCGATGGATGGTGGTTCAATTTCCTTTGGATTCTTCTTGAATCTCTTTAGGTCCCTCTTTCTCTAGTATAAAATAGAAGTAAGTTTAGAATAAATTTTATCATACCCGGACAAAAAAAGTGTAGTGCCCAACAATCTGCAATAAGTTTTCAGAGTGAATTCTTAGTTTATGATGAAAAAAAAAAGAATTCTACAACGAGGGCGTTTCTTGGAGAGTATTCTACAAATGGGGTATTCGCATTCCGGTGAGCTCGCATTCTGGAAATGTGTGAGCTCGTACTCAGGAGCGCCAAGACCCCATTTCGAAAAAAAATAAAAACAGAAAAGTGAGTCAAAGAAGCAGAACGCAATATCGAAACATAGCTGTCGAACAGCAAAACAAATAATTCAGAATAGTCGAACAGCAAAACAAAGAAAACAGAGCTGGGTTCTGCACATCGAAGCATTCAAAGACCGGAGCTGACCGGAGCATCCAAAGACTGGTTCCGCGAGTGCCGCTTCCCAAAATTTGCCAGCATTCCCGTCCCATTGCGACTCTCAAATAGCATAAAGGTTAGACTTTTCCACTTGCAATGCCTCACTTATAGCATTTTAAGTTTAATTAATACTTGAATACTTGAATCCAAGGGCAAGTTCAGATTTGTTGTGAAATTTGGATTTAAATTTGATGTGGGTTGTGCTTATTTTTGCAATTTTTGTGGTGGATTTGAGGATATACGTTACATTTTTCGAAATCTTGCAATTTTTCTGTTTCCAATTTGTTGCAATTTATTTGCAGTTTCTGCAATTAGTACAGAAAAAGCATGATCCGAGGTCGGATCCGACTCAACACTGACGGATCCGACCTCGGATCCTTTGAGGATCAAAGGCGAAATTGGGTGATACGACCTCGGATCCATAGTTGTTCACTCAGATCCGAGAGCTTGTCTGATCATCTGTTGAAACGGATCCGAACCCTATTGGATCCGAGGGTTACCAGAAATAATCCGAGCTCGGATCCTCGCATTTCATAAATGCGAGGTCTGGTTTTTTTTTTTTTTTTGTTTTGGATTTTGTTGTTCGAAAATTCGAACTGCGTGAGTTCGTATTTGCTGAGTGCGAAGACCCTTTGGACGGAATCCCATGCTCAAAATGCCCCATTTGTAGAATTCTTTTAAATTTCATCATAATTTTCGAAATTTCTCTGTCATCATAATTTTTTTAAAATGTCTATTTTTTTGTGTTGAAGAAGATAAAACAAAAAAAAAAAGAAAAAAGGGGCAAGTTCCATTTAAAATAGAAAATGGGTTCTAATTAAGGGAATTAAACATGAGATGCAAATGAGAAACGAATCTGTCTAGGGCAGCTATGGGTAAATCGTACATTAGAGTTGTGTTCCTAGAGAAGATTTTAGAAAAATAAGGGCCTTGAACTAAGATGGAAAAATAAATTTTATTGAAATTACAATATATGTTAGCAATTTCCGAAATTTGATGCCAAGCATTGAAGTTGTCGTGGATGCATTTCCGTTGCTTTAACAGTCTTAGCATGCCATTTAATTTTTTGTTATATACATTTAGGCACTATTGTCGTACTTTAACAAGTGTATATAAATATATTTGACAAATACTTATTTTTCACTAATGTAGTTATCAAAGCCATTTACAATAATTAGTACTTTAATACGCCCTGTATAATTTGAAATGATAATAATTACAATAATTAGTACTTTAATATGTCTTGTGTAATTTAAAATGATAATAATTAATCATTTCTGACTAGTTTAATGTACAAAATAATTCTCTAAAATACTAAGCACATAGTAGACAAAGTTTCTAATACTGAATGTGGGGGCAAGGGTTATGTACCAAATTTGGGTGGCAAGTGCCCACCCAAATTCTCTAATTTCTCTAATACTGAATGTGGGGGCAAGGGTTATGTACCAATAATTCTCTAATTTCAGTTTTTATTTTTAAAATATATTTCGTAGCTATTATTTTTTGTCGAAACACTATCTACATTGGACATTGTATGTTTCGCAATTGGAGTTTAGAAATTTTATTGACATTATGTAGTTTATAGATTGGAGCTTTTGAATTTTATGGATATTTGGATTGTTTGACAGGAAATTTTAGCCCATTTATAGGGGAGACTCTGTCGAATTTTTTGTAGAGTTTTCTTTGTGAGGGCAACTGACTATTAAATGGATAAACCCTGTTTGGATTGATTGGCAGGGAGTTTTAGTGAAATTTGTGGATTGGTTGGCAGGGAGTTTTAGTCTATTTTTAGGGGAGATTTTGTCCAAATTTTCTAAAAATTTCGTTCGGAGTTTTAGGCTATTTCTATCGTCATTTATAGCATATTTCATACCTGTTTTCAATTTTTTCATAAACATCTGGATCAAAATTAGTCTATTTAATAGTTCCAACTTCGACCTAGAGTCCACTCTCTTTCATTTGTTTAAACCATTGAACTACTAATTCTAATTTATTGTCCCCAAAATAGGGATTCATTTCACAGACATGTTTGTAGAAAGACCTCTGCGGGTAAACCTATACTGGGGAGGAGAAATACATTACGAGGGTGACTTTATTTGTTATTTGTCTCGTACTTCCAATCGGACATTCACTTTGAGGCATATAATTGGATACGGGGAGTTGGTTGACAGGATTACCACTATATTGGGGTCGATAAAGGGATGTTCAAGTTGAAATTGTTTCTTCGTCAACCGTTGGAGAGTTCCAAATATACTGTTTCCTCAGTGGTGGATGATGAAACTCTTGATGTAATGTACGATCTTTGGATCGAAAAAGTTTCATACATGGCGGAGATTTATATCGAGAAGGAAGAAATCGTCCAAATGCCTGTAGTTAATAGCGTATTCACTGGATCAATAGGTAATGTTGGTCCAATGATGTCGCTTGTACACGCATTCATGGATCCAACAAAGTTTAACTTCGGTTCTAGTTCAGTCGTTCCAGAGACTTCATCGGCATGTCACTATATGCATGATGATCGATCTATGAATTCATTAGAACCAAGGCTCACATCAGGGTTCATGGGTGCCCAGGAATATTTTCATGGCTTGGATTCGATTCCAAGTTTTGGAGATCCAGGGCCATCACGCCATATTTCTTCACATGAGATCGAGTCTAACCCTGGTTTAGGTTGTCGCAGTTCAGCTGAAGATGATGTATATGCTAGTGGACATGATAGGCTCCTTACCTCTGAAGAAGATGACCCGGAAGTTAATGAGGAAGAGGTTGAAGAGTCGGAGTCGTAAGATGTGTCTGGTAGTGACTCGGATGATGAGCATGAAGGTGGGGGTTTAAGAGTAAACCTCGATACCCAACAACCCTTTGTTAGGTATCGGGTTGCCAACACAGAATGCGGAGATATTAGACGCAATAGCACAGCTGGCAGCTCTGCATATGTTCCAAGAGGAATGGCATTTTTCTCCGATCTTGGGAGCATAGATGATGATAATATAGAAGAGGAGGATGGATTGGAGCATATTGTAACATTCAGTGAGGAGAATAATAATATACGTCTCCATATGAGATTTGAAAGTAAACAGTAGCTCAGCCGGACAGTTAGGATGTGATCCATCAATCAGAATAGGGAATTCAGAGTTATTGAGAGTAAGAGTAACACGTGGTTTGCTAAATGCAAATCATCAATTGAAAAAACCCCTTCCACTTCAACCGCGCCATCGTATTCACCATGCGATTGATGTGTTAGAGCCGTAAAGAAAAAGACTCATGGAATGTGGCAAATTACAAAATGGGTCAATGACCATAATTGCTTGGGCGACATGATTAGAGATAACAATACAAGCCTGACGGCTTCCGTTATTTCAAGGCACATCCTCCGTACCATTGAAGATGACCCTGGATTAAAGGTCAAAAACATACTAAGTTTCGTTAAAGAAAACTTGAAGGTTGATGTGTCTTACAAAAAAGCCTGGTATGCCAGACATAAAACAATTGAGCTTGTGTTTGGATCTTGGGAGGCGAATTTTGTCGAACTATCACAGTATCTCGATGCCCTGGTGCAATCCAATCCAGGCACCGTGGTTGAGTGGTCAAATCATTCGGATAGTTCAAATTGAGTTAAGACTTTTAAATATGTATTCTGGGCCTTTGGACCTGCTATTGAAACATTCCACATGTTCAGAACGGTTATATGCGTTGATGGCACTCATTTGCGTGGTGAATACAAGGGCAAACTCCTTGTTGCAGTCACTCAAGATGCGAACAACAAGATTCTGCCAATTGCTTATGCCATAGTGGATGAGAAGACGATTTCCAATTGGTCGTGGTTCATGGAACAATTAAGATATAATGTGGCACTTGATCGACATCCTATCTGTGTCATTTTCGATCGCCACAATGGTATAATCTATACCATGACACACTTTGACTATTGGGAGGAACCTTTAGCCTACCATAGATTTTACCTGTGACATGTTAAGAGCAATTTGATGACACGCTTCAAAGGTTTACACCTTAAAAAGTTGTGTTGGGTAATGGGAAGGGCAAGACAATTACGCAAGTGGCGGATGTTCAGAAGAGAACTACGAAGCATGTTTTCAGATGCTTGGAATTATCTGTCAGTCATTAGTCCAGAAAAGTGGTGCCTAACACACGACGATGGCCGTCGTTGGGGTATTCTAACTACCAACATATCCGAAAACTATAATAATATCTTGCGCGGAGCACGCCATTTGCCAATTCGTGCATGCATTGACATGACATTTCATCG